ATGGCATTTTGAATGCACAGAGATACCATGACGAGATCCTGAGGCCCATTGTTGTGCCATTCATCCACTACCATCACCTCATGTTGCAGCATGATAACGCATTGCCCCATGTTGCACGGATATGTACAGAATTCTTGGAAGCTGAAAATATCCCAGTTCATGCATGGTCAGCATACTCACCGGACATGTCACCCATCATTGAGTATGTTTGGGATGCTCTGGATCGGCATATACAACAGCGTGTTCCAGGTCCTACCAATATCCAGCAACAGCCATTGTGGCCAGCCTAAGGCATACCTGTGCAATAATCATGCTGTCTAATCAGCATCTTGATACGCCACACCTTTGAAGTGAATGTATTGTCTCGGCAAAGGAGAAGTGCTCACTAACACAGATTTAGACAGATTTGTGAACAACATTTGATAGAAATAGGCCTTTTGTGTACATAGAAAAAGTCTTAGATATTTGAGTTCAGCTCATGAAAAATGAGGGCAAAAACAAAAGTGTTGCGTTTATAATTTTGTTCAGTGTATATATGAATAGGCAAGACATCATGCAAACAAATATTTATTTCTATGCAAAGTGTTATACAAATTCAGTATGGTAATTGTCATACTCCCCAACATTGTTGTCCTTCAAAAGGAGAACACAGGTAAAAGGGTTAAAAGGAAGCAGACCAATGATGCGAATTGTGTCACTGCTCCTGCCCAAAGGTGGTATTCCTGCCTGTCAAGGGGGCGTTTCCACCCAAAGAATTGGCTTGTCACCCTGGTATGAATGAACTCCAGGCTGACTGCCAATAAAGCAGGCCAGCTCTCACTGTGCGGAAAGCGTCTAATGATGTGTTTACACTACGCTTTTTGGGGGCAGTATCCTGAGGTGTAAACAGTAGCTGTCTGTATCTGTGCTACAGCTATACCAGCACTGAAAATCTTAATACTATGATTTATCTAAATATCATCCATTATTATTAATTAATGAAATAGTGCTGGAAACATAATGTTACTCATCTTGAGCAATATCAAGAAAAATGTATTTTATGTTTTATAAGCACTCTTTGAGTTTATCGTGTGTTTTAAACTTCTTTTTTTTCAGAGTGTCAGCTACTGGTCCTTCTAGATATGGTGAGGACACATCACAGCTTTTCAAGGATATCAATGGCTGATGTACAAAAAAGGTGAGCTACAAGAAATGGTGCGCAAGATCTATTAAAAACCGTTTTCTATCAAAAAGCATTTACGATAGCACAATAACCAACTGACTCCTAGATTGACATATAAATAAAACATAATTTATGCATTTATACATTAATCTTTTTAAGCTATTTTGTAGGTCTTTTTTTTTAATTGAATAAGTCTGCTATTTTTTAACCCTATATATGTTTTTGTTTTGATTTACTGTTAATAGTTTGGGGCCACATATCTTATCACAAGTCACATTCAGCTTAGTTATATGGCATCAAGGCATTGAATTAATGAAAAGAAAAGGAAAGATGTAAAAAAGTAATTGACTATTTTTGCTATTCTCTTTAGTGCATCGTTCTTGGCATTGGAAAGACCAGTAGAGACTGCCATGTTGTTCAGCGTTTCCGGTTTTCGTGCTGTCATGCTAAATCAATGGTACACAACCCTTGAGCAGAATGCTAAAAAACTTGATTTCTTGGCAGAAAGTAAGTTATTTTATCTGGGATTTTTTTTCCATTTTATTTAAACTCTCTTCTCTATTCTCCCAATATGTTTTTTGCTTTTTATAACCCATGATCACACGATTATTGTGTTTGAATTATTTTACTCTATGTGCCTCTCTTGGTGGCACTCAGTGGCCACCGACTATTTACCTTAGACATATTGTCATCTATATTTACTGCAAAATCAATTGAAAATCAATTCAGTGGATATCAGAATAATCAGAATTGTATATTACGTGCTGGAGTCTCTTCTCCATTTTCTTAGCCATGTCCTCAATTAAATAAATACCACAAACACCTTGGTTAAGCTACAGTGTGCTGTTTTTAGAGCCATAGAAAAATGTAAACCTTTAGAAATCTATAGAATCAATGCCAATTTCATACACTGGATTTAAAACCTAAAATACTGCCTGAATTGTTCGTCCTCTGATCTTACGCTCACTTGTCTACCCCAGTGGTGATGTGAATTTGGATCCCAAAGCCACTAGAGATACTTTAGCAAGACGTGAAGTCTTATCAGATGGCCATTTTGTGAAGAGACTAAAATGAAAGTGATTCAATTTACATTTAACATATTGCTGTAGTAACTGAGATTACTATTTCCTCTATAGATCTCTTAGAACATGGAAAGACAACTGGGCAGACAGTTCAAAGTTCAAGACAACCTGGAAGGGATCCTGAACCTGTGACAGGAAGTCAGTATTCATACTTATTCCTTTATTAAGCAATGATGTTGGTGAAAAGCTAATCAGTTGCAAACCCTTATCCATTTCCAAAGGCCTCTATAGGAGCGTATGGTTATATTGGAGTGCAATGTGGTATACGTCTTTCTTTTAATGTGTTGAAAGAATAAATCTGGTTGAGGGTAATAGGCAGATTAATTATAATTATTATTATTATCATTAATAACTGCACATGGTGTAAACTTCATTGTTTTATATAATATAAATTGTTACCAGCTGTTTTAGTCTATTCCATTGTCTGGAGTTTGCGTGTATTATCCAGATTAAACTGCTTGGAGCTAGAATGAGTTATCATGTATACATGATATTGATGCCTACATAGTGCTAAGGGAATGGGTATATAACGTGGCATTGAATAGTTGGTTTATATTTATGATTAAGCAAGTGTGACAAAGGGAATCAACACATAAATTATTATATTGTCCCAGGCAGTGGTTATTTTCTATAACCTATTAGAGTATACAATAATACCCTACCCTTTGGATAAACACTTATACACTATTTGATGCCCTTTTGCTAGGGAATAAATAATAAAAAGAAATATCCAGCACAGTATTATAGGCCCCTGGGCAAAGCAGTGCACTGGGGCCCTGCCTACACAACCACTCACATAAATAAACATGTAATTATCAATAAAATTAAGCTTATATTTATTGGTGCCTATAACAAATGCAATAAATACATACACAGAGACTGCTGAGTACACATACACAGAGACTGCTGAATACACAGACTGCTGAATACACATACACAGAGACTGCTGAATACACAGACTGCTGAATACACATACACAGAGACTGCTGAATACACAGACTGCTGAATACACAGAGACTGCTGAATACACAGACTGCTGAATACACATACACAGAGACTGCTGAATACACAGACTGCTGAATACACACACACAGAATACAGAACAGGTCACAGAGAAAGAACTACAAAGCAACAAAGTAATTCCTTACACTAGTTACCACCTCCACCTGTGCCAACACACAACGACAACAAAAGGTTATCTTGGTTGGACCCCCCGTCCCTTCAGAGCAATATCTGGTTACATCAACACAGCCCTTTATTGTAGTAGATAAACTTGCTGGCTCCCACAGCAGGTGGTAACTCACTGTGCAGCATTTAACTTGATTAACACGCAGAATACATTTCACACCTAACTATACTTTATAGTTTATAGAGCTGTTGCCCCACAGCTGCATATACAGACACACACACACTGCTCTATGTAGAATACAAGTATACAATACGGCGATATCTAGATACATGAAAAACAGTCACAAAAATGGCTGCCCCATAGAAATATACAGACTTGTGGCCAGACCCACCACAAGTCTGTTGGACCCCCCTGAGTCCAAGTCCTTGGGGGTCCAATGTGACTTGACAAGTGGGTGCAAGACAGTCCTTGGTCTTTTTGTGTGTGTGGGCAAAATGGTAGCCATTCTCCCCTCCCAACTCCCCTCTCCCAGGGCAAAATCAGTCCAAGGGAATACACAAGGGGACCCCACAAACAATACATTGTTAAAAATCCTTGATCTGAGCGCCCAAGTTCTCCAACTAGCGCTCAGATCCATGCAGTGTAGTTAGGTCCTCTATCCCGCTTCATATATAATAACTCCCAAAAGGTGTCCCAGACCTGGACCATAGTCGGTGGCCAGGAGTCCGTGGCAAACGTGTGTGAGAAGGGGCTTTGTCACACCTGGATATTTATTTGTTTCATTTCATGTTTTCAGGGATTGGCCCTCCCTATCTGGAGCACCATGCAGGAAGTATTGCCTCATTTTTTAGTTTGTGCATTGATTTTTGTGAGACAAACCACTGGTGTTTTGCTCTGTAGAGTTGTTGTTTTAGATTTTCCATAATAAAATTATGTTTTTTTTCTTTTGCAGTAAATATAGATGACAATATGCCTAAGGTAAAGCAAGAAGATGTTTCTCTAAGCCTTTATGACTTAAAACACACTCTAGAGAACCCGTCCATTTTCCGTTATGTCTTATATGGTCTACCTAATTTGATTGTGATGTGATTTTTTTTTTTTCTGTCACAGAAGAAATTAATATTTCTTTATTTTAATCTTTGTTTCCTTAATTTGCCTTGTTAATACAAGAGCATTGTATGACTCTATGTTCCCTAAACTATTATTTTTCAATATTACTCAAACATGTCATTTTGAAAGTGAAACATGTTTTCTTAAATGTTAGGAATGAGTATAAAGCCAGTCTAATATTTGTAATCTAGCAGTTTCAGAGGATCTATTGACAATGTTTATATGATTAATGTTTAGACATGTTCGACAATTATTGCTCTTTTTGCATTTGACAAGTTTGTTACAATACAACTTTACCTTTTATGGGATATAAATTAAAATAGATGCTACTAAATGTCAAACGTATTGTCTTTTGTACTGTGGAAAATGTTGTTTAAAAACCGTTATATAATATATAATATATAATGTAATATAATCTTAACGTATTTTGCTATGAATACATTTAGGTTTTTCTTGTTTTATTTTCTTAATGGATTCAGATCTGTCCAATTAATGTAGCATATATTTATCTGTTATAGCAAACCTTTTGGAAAACCAACTACAAGTTTGGTATTGGTATCATTAAAGAACCACTATAGGCACCCAGACCACATCAGCTCAATGAAGTGGTCTGGGTGCCAGGCCCCTCTAGTTTTAACCCTGCAGCTGAAAACAAAGCAGTTTCAGAGAAACCGATACATTTCACTGAGGGTTAATCCAACCTCTAGCAGCTGTCTCCCTGACAGCCACTAGAGGCCGCTTTCGCGATTCTCACTGTGAAAGTCACAGTGAGAAGACGCTGGACGTCCATAGGAAAGCATTGAGTAATGCTTTCCTATAGGCTTTTTGAATGCGCGTGGGTTGCCGCGCAAGCGCATTCGTCGCTAACATCGGCAGGAGGAGAAGAGGTCACCAGCGCCGATGGAGCCCGGCGCTTGATTAAGGTAAGTGCCCTTCAGCCCAGCGGGAGGGGATCCCTGGGGGAGGGTGGAGAGGCTAATAACCCTATAGTGCCAGGAAAACGAGTTTGATTTCATGGCACTATAGTGCTCCTTTAAATATGGTAATCCCACATAAGGGTACCAATTTTGATGAATTTACAAGAGTAAACTAATGAACAAATGGTGCATGGAAGAATTTCTTCCATTTTGCAACTTCTTCATTAGTTTATTCTTCCATTGTGCTATTCAGAGATTCAGAATACTCGTCCAAACTGTGACCCCCAAAAACATTGCCCAAGTCTATAGTTTGCTTTGCCTGTTCAACTTGTTTGTTACCTCTACTGTTCCTTGACTGATACCTGGCGCTTCTTTGACTTTACCTATAAATTCCTTACCAGATTATGCCCTGGTTTGTAACCTTTGCTGATTTTCCAAACTCATAGTGATTTTCTTTCTACAGGTCTTCTGTCTTTCTTTTCCTGTTTGTTAATAAAGAGCTTGGACTGTACTTACATGGTCTCATTGGTTCCAAAAGACGCACAGATTCCACCAGCACATAGATTCTTAACCTGAGACCCTGAAGCAAACTATGACAAAGTGTGCACATTGATTAGTTATTCAATGGATATATGGTTCATTGATGGGGCACTGATATTGTAATGTGACCCTTTAGAAAACCTATTTCAATATGTAGATATGCTAAATTATTGCTTTAATAATAACATGTACTTATTGGAGAATACTACTCATTCTTTTCTGGTCATATTTCTTCATAATTTATTCTATAAAAGAGAATATACCAGCCTCTTTTGGATATTACTCAAATTCATTATGTAATAGTATTACTTCATCGTCATATAGATTATATATAATTTGGTAAAAAACAAAAAACAAAAAACATTGCATATACCATTTCTATGTATTGTTACATTTTTATTTGTTATTTGAATGTAAAATGAACAAGCCACTCACAATAGGCTTTCGTGAATACCATATATTTTAAAGCTAATAAAGATTTTTGTAGCTATCACATTCACCAGGGATGACTTATCTTGTGATAATATGGTCAACGCATTCACACCATGTCCCTCTTTCATTCTGAATAATAAAAGATATAAATAGATATGAAAGGGTGAAAGTTTTTTTTTTTTAATAGACTTTTTGACATTTTCCTTTTTAATACAATATTCTCTTTGATATTTACATTTATATTGTAACACATTATTTTTTTAAAAACAATTTTTACACACTCACGCCTTTAATAGATTAATGAAATATACTTATCTAACTTTTTTAAATTAAATCTTCACACACTATACATCGTAGCACTCACCAAAGTATTAGAACATTTTTTTTTTTACTATTAACTTGCGGGTTTTAGGTGACTTTGACCTTCTCTTGCTCATAGTCACCCATTAGTCTTTTCTGTCAATATATTTATACACATTTCATGTTGGTGACACTTTCAGTTTTTTTCTGCTCTGTATCAATGAACATAATATTAATTTGTATCATCTTCATTGATAACAGTCACATCGATACATTTGTTTATTAACGTGTTTAGCTTTATTTTATTTATTTTTTAAATTAGCTTTCCAAAGACTTTCAGGTCGAAGCATTGCTTGTGCTACTTGGCAGGTGGCAAATCATTTTCACTTTCATTTAAATCCAACTGCATTGTTTAATCTTTCTACTGAATAGTATACAGGGAGTTCAGAATTATTAGGCAAGTTGTATTTTTGAGGATTAATTTTATTATTGAACAACAACCATGTTCTCAATGAACCCAAAAAACTCATTAATATCAAAGCTGAATATTTTTGGAAGTAGTTTTTAGTTTGTTTTTAGTTTTAGCTATGTTAGGGGGATATCTGTGTGTGCAGGTGACTATTACTGTGCATAATTATTAGGCAACTTAACAAAAAACAAATATATACCCATTTCAATTATTTATTATTACCAGTGAAACCAATATAACATCTCAACATTCACAAATATACATTTCTGACATTCAAAAACAAAACAAAAACAAATCAGTGACCAATATAGCCACCTTTCTTTGCAAGGACACTCAAAAGCCTGCCATCCATGGATTCTGTCAGTGTTTTGATCTGTTCACCATCAACATTGCGTGCAGCAGCAACCACAGCCTCCCAGACACTGTTCAGAGAGGTGTACTGTTTTCCCTCCTTGTAAATCTCACATTAGATGATGGACCACAGGTTCTCAATGGGGTTCAGATCAGGTGAACAAGGAGGCCATGTCATTAGATTTTCTTCTTTTATACCCTTTCTTGCCAGCCACGCTGTGGAGTACTTGGACGCGTGTGATGGAGCATTGTCCTGCATGAAAATCATGTTTTTCTTGAAGGATGCAGACTTCTTCCTGTACCACTGCTTGAAGAAGGTGTCTTCCAGGAACTGGCAGTAGGACTGGGAGTTGAGCTTGACTCCATCCTCAACCCGAAAAGGCCCCACAAGCTCATCTTTGATGATACCAGCCCAAACCAGTACTCCACCTCCACCTTGCTGGCGTCTGAGTCGGACTGGAGCTCTCTGCCCTTTACCAATCCAGCCACGGGCCCATCCATCTGGCCCATCAAGACTCACTCTCATTTCATCAGTCCATAAAACCTTAGAAAAATCAGTCTTGAGATATTTCTTGGCCCAGTCTTGACGTTTCAGCTTGTGTGTCTTGTTCAGTGGTGGTCGTCTTTCAGCCTTTCTTACCTTGGCCATGTCTCTGAGTATTGCACACCTTGTGCTTTTGGGCACTCCAGTGATGTTGCAGCTCTGAAATATGGCCAAACTGGTGGCAAGTGGCATCGTGGCAGCTGCACGCTTGACTTTTCTCAGTTCATGGGCAGTTATTTTGCGCCTTGGTTTTTCCACACGCTTCTTGCGACCCTGTTGACTATTTTGAATGAAACGCTTGATTGTTCGATGATCACGCTTCAGAAGCTTTGCAATTTTAAGAGTGCTGCATCCCTCTGCAAGATATCTCACTATTTTTGACTTTTCTGAGCCTGTCAAGTCCTTCTTTTGACCCATTTTGCCAAAGGAAAGGAAGTTGCCTAATAATTATGCACACCTGATATAGGGTGTTGATGTCATTAGACCACACCCCTTCTCATTACAGAGATGCACATCACCTATTATGCTTAATTGGTAGTAGGCTTTCGAGCCTATACAGCTTGGAGTAAGACAACATGCATAAAGAGGATGATGTGGTCAAAATACTCATTTGCCTAATAATTCTGCACTCCCTGTATAAGGATATGTGGTGCTCTGACCCATGTATTCATGGCTGTGCAAAGATTCTCTTATTGTGACAGTACAAGTTATCAGAATGATGGCAACTGATGAAGCTTTGGAGTAAAGCATAGTACCTGGCTAACCTTAAAAGTTAAAAAAAAGCCTGAGTTTGTCCTCCCAAATCCAAACGTAATCTACATAACTGAAAATATATTGATATATATAGATTACCGAAGACAACAAAAATGCACTAAAAATGTATTGCACATCTATTTAAAGGTGCCTGTATCTTTGGAGAGACACGTGCAGGTTCCTTTGCTGCTTTTGGCTTAGCCAGCAAGAAAAAAAATGGATTCCTCAAAAAAGGGAAAAGAGAGCCTTTAATCAAATTAAAGTAGGCATCACGGCTGGGACATACAACAGGTAGTGGGCTGGATCAATGCTGATGCGTTTTGTGCCTTCATCAGCACGTCATCATAGATTTTTCTAATAGTTTTTTCTATGGATTGAACCGTCCCTTCTTTTTCGATTGAAGAGATCCAGCAGCTAAGCCAAGTCCCGAGCTTAATCCATCTTTTCCATCTTTGTTGTGCAACATTCCATCCATAGAGAAGATAAAATGTCCCACTGCTTTATGCTTTCTTATGGTGAATGACAAGCTCTTTTCGAGAGCCTAATTTTATGTCTCTCATCATCTTCTATTAAGTAAAATAAACCAGGAACACAATGCAGAATTGCTGGTGGTCTATGTACTATATGATCTTCTCTCTTCAAGTCACAGCATGTAATGAATATGTGAGTTTTTAAACAGATGACTCAATTCCAATGAGTATTTGTAACCAATCAAAAACAAGTGCAAATCCTTACAATGCATTTATAAGTAACTTTATTTCCCTATAATAACCTATCAAAGCATAATGATAGCCAATCCTTTATGTTTTATGTCCCATTAATAATTTTCGCGTGAAATCCAATGGTTGATTGGTGTTTTCGGTGAGTGTTATGGTCTATTTGTAGGTTGTGGCATAGTCTAAAAATAATGTGTAATTAGTAATACTTAAATTAAGCATTTGCCTTTTAAACACTCTGAAAGCTCTGTTCTAATCACATTGGTTTATCTTCTTTTTATTCCAGCAATTAGTCACAGCATATACTGTTTGATACTGAAATGATTGTGTAACTCATATTAGTTGTTTTATATATACTGCATGGGTGGCTAATTCCAAAATACGTGTTTGACAGTATCAAGTACTTGATCAATATTATCTTGTCCCTTAGCGCACATTAAGTGACAATATTAATCAATATGTTCAGTCTCCTTAATAACTGTTAAAGTTCATTTTATTATGGATCCTTTTACATAATGACTTAATGGACTTCAATAAAATCCCTGAACAAATCAATTTAGTTTTAAAAAGACTCCACAATGTTGAAGAGAAGCTGAGGAAGGAATTGATTTTTTTTAAGTTGGTGGATAAATATCAAGACATTCTTTTAAGTAAAAAGCATGCCCTTTCTTTTCAAGTTAAAAAGCCAACACTGAATGCTCTGTTACAACAGATTACAAAAAAGCCAGTTGTTAATTGGACTCAGGGGCAATTCTCAGCAGTGCTATATGACGGTGTGTTCTGTAAAACACAAAATCAGGGCTGTTGAAATAAAGCCGCTAAAGAGTTTTGGACTACAACTTACCTATTTTTCTACAAACTTGTGGTTGTTTGACACCCCTGTACTTTAGTGTTACAGTGTACATTCATAAATATTTATTGACTAAAAGTATGTAAAAATGTAAGTTTATCATTATACTGTGCCATCATGTGGATACTACCAGTAGTCACAGATTGGTGGTAACATCTTGAAACATTTGGTCTGTGTAGCCTCTCTATCATGCATCTAATTACGCCACACATTTTAATTATGTTACATAGGTACATAGCTGAAAAGAGACTTGCGACCATCAAGTTCAGCCTTCCTCACATTTTTTTATTTTTTTTGCTGTTGATCCAAAAGAAGGCAAAAAAATAATAATTTTGAAGCACTTCCAATTTTGCAACAAACTAGGATAAAAAAATATTTCTTGACCCCAGAATGGCAGTCAGATTTATCATTGGATCAAGCAGTTATTACCCTACATTGAAAAATTATATCCTTGAATATTCTGTTTTTGCAAGTGTGCATCTAGTTGCTGTTTGAACATCTGTATGGACTCTGATAAAACCACTTCTTCAGGTAGAGAGTTCCAATATGTGCGATGTGTTTATCAGTCACTCTTAGGGTTATTTCCTAAAATGAGAATTCAAAGTATAGATAACCCTCACTTACCGACCGAGTTCCATTCCTACGCCTCAGTCATAAAATGAATTGTTCGGTAAGTGAGGATGCTGAGACAACCAAGTCCCGCATGCGCCAGAGGGCAGGACTTTGTTCGGGGGAAATCCCCTAAACAGAGACCAGTGCAGGGAATCCCTCGACTCTGGGTTCGGGAAAAATTCCCCCAAATATAGACCAGCTCTCTAACATGGGGGATCCCTCGAATCCCTGCGCTC